GCCCGCATTCGCCGTTGGCGGGGCCTGGGCGCGGCGCGTGTTCTCGCTTTTCAGCCCCCCTTGGCAGCAGGCTGAGGGGCCTAGGGTGGGGCGCGGCCTCGAGGGGGCCCTGGCGCCTTTCACCCTGGGGAGCGCGCGGGGGCGCTGCCCGCGGCTCGGCTCTCTCGGGCTCGGCAGGCGACGGGACGTCGCTCGAGGGCCCAGCGCACGGGCCTGGCGAGGTGCAGACGCCCCAGGCCGCCGACGCACCAAAGCACCAAAACACACACACACACACACACGCACGCACGCATGCACCCACACACACGCACGCACGCACGCACGCACGCACGCACACACACACACACACACACACACACGCACGCACGCACGCACGCACACACACACACGCACACACACACACACACACACGCTCTCGCACGCACGCACGCACGCACCCACACATACATATATGCCAAGGTGCACATGGCCGTGCTATCACCCTCCACCCGGCGTATTTGTTTCTTTCTCGGGGGTTCTTAGCCGTGATTCTCCAATTCGACGTGCCTCTTTGCCTTTGCTGCTCTTTGGGTATGTTGTTGGGGTTCTTCGTGGGGAAAGGGATGGGGATGATGCAGATCACGGAAATAGTCATAGTGATGATGATGCGGATGATGATGATGATGATGATGATGATGATGATGATGATGATGATGATTATGATTATCATTATGATTAGGAGTATGAATATGATGATAGTGGTGGTTGTGGTGATGATGCTGATGATGATGATGATGACGATGATTATGATGATGGTGGTGGTGATAGTGACTGTGATGGTGATAATGGTGGTGGTGATTGTGGTGGTGATGGTGGCGGTGGTGGTGGATGATGGTGGTGGTGATGATGAAGATTATAGTGATGATGATGCTGATGCCGATGATGTCGATGATGTGATGCTGATGCTGATGTTGATGCTGATGATGATGATGGCCATTCTGATCAGGATGATGCTGGTGATGCTCATGCTGATGCTGATGATGCTGATGATGCTGATGCTGATGATGCTGATGAGGATGATGATAATGATGATGATGATGATGCTGATGATGATGATGATGATGATGATGATGATGATGATGATGATGATGATGATGATGATGATGATAATCATCGGTGGGTGTCTCGCGCGGCGATTCGCGGGTGGAAGGCGGACGGATCGCGGGGCAGGTCGCGAGTGGGTCGCGGCGCGGCCACGGTGGGCAGGCTGGGGGGCTGGCCCATCACAGGTCAATCCGGCTCGAGAAATGCCGCCGAAAGAGATGGAGTCTATCCAGGCCTCCTGGATGCGGTCGGAGAAGACGGGGTCGGAGGATGGCGCCGCATCGCCGATGCATCGGTGATGCGGCTCGATGTGGAGCCCGACGTTTTCCACGCTGGCGTCGCCGATGCACCGCCGACGTCGCTGACACATCGTCGATGCTTCGGCGATGCGGCGAGATTCTCTGACCCCCGTCTACTCGGACCTCATCTGGGAGGCCTGTAGTCTAGCGTTTCAGTCGTGATTTGCCGCGATGCTGCAATCTGATTCACACTGGACGTTCCGCCGGCATTCTGGCCCCGGGACCATGACATGTTGATTTTGCCCGAGAGATGCCGCAGAAAGATAGGGTCTAGGGTTTCAGCCGTGATTTGTCGCGATGCTGGAATTTGTCACAGCTTGCGTTTTCGCAAGGGTCTCACGCCCCGGACTATCACATATGTATTAGGTCATTAGTTCCAAAGCAACGCAGCAGGAAGATGAGGTCTAGGGCTTCGGTCGTGATACTTCGCGATGTCGCATGTTTCTGACATCGGGTGTTTTCGCAGATCACAGATCGATCCAGCTCAAGAACTGCCGCAGACAGACCGGATCTACGGCTTCAGTGATGATTTTTGGCGATGTTCCATTATTTTGCAGCGTCCGACCTCGGGAGAAGGGCGGGGTGATAAGGGGGGTGGGGGAGGAGAGGAACGAACGAGGCCGAGGACAAGGAGGGCAGGAGGGCGTGCCAGAGATTGGTTTTACCCCTGGGAGGGGGGCTTTGTGTTCGGGGGTCCACTTTGCCGAGGCCGCGGAGCGCGAGCCCTTGCAGGCCCCCAGCGTGGAGCTGGCACGCAAAGCTTCCCACCAAGAAGTCTGGGATCACAGTCGGCCCTGATGAGTCTCGGTCGCCCCTGCCGAACCAAGGAGTACCCTCGCGTCCTCTGCTTCGCGACCCATGCCTTCTACGTGCATGCGGCAATGTGGCCCTCGGACGGGTCTCGTGTCCTCTCGCGTGTCCTGTCCAATCCAGGCCGCCTGCAGGGAGCCGCACGCGGCACCCGCGCGGCCGTGCCCGCGGGCGGGCCGTGGGGCGGGGCCGGCCGTGGGCGAGGGCAGGGACGGGCTCTGCGGAGTTCCGCGGCCATGGGGGGGCCATGCCAAGCAGCGCCCTGCTTGCCTCCAGGGTGCCCCGGGTTTCTTGGGTTTCGAGGGTGCTGCCATGGAAAGCGTGGCGTTCCCACACCAGAAATCTATGGACGTCCTGGGGTCTCAGGGTTGGGTTTCTTGTGGAAGGCTTCTTGTGGACTGGCCTCGACTGTACAGCCACACACCCGCGGACGGTGTAAGACCGTGCGGCCTCTTCACTCAGACATGCTGGCCACTGCCAAATCTGCTTTTCACTGATCCTAATCGTCGTCGAGTCATCGGCATTGTCACCGCCGCCCGCCTGGCTCAAGTCTGCGGCCAACTCATTTCCCTGGACGCCTAGACCACGCAGGCCTTTACGCAGCAGGCGAAGCGCAATCATGCTTTGTATCAACTTGGGTGCTGGCCGCCGCATCGGAGACGCTCCAGGTGGCATTTCACGTCTCATACAGTGTCTAGTCTTGTGTATGGTGTATGGTCTTGAGTATGTGTGTATATGCACCACATGCCTCTTCAATCACCATGCGTTCGATGCGCGTTGCAGGTGGGACCTTGCTTAGAGGTGAGTGTTCGTAAGCACGCTTGACGACAGGGCAGGGTGGATGCGATGACGACTGACCATGCCGATGTATTCAGAGGGCTTCTCTCCGATGTTTATGTTCCCAGGTAACAAGTGGGGTATTGTTGCCCGGAGGCGTTCCTTGCAAACTTGGGTAATCTCGCTTCTCACGAGGCAGTTAGGCTAATCTCCCCGAGAGGGCGCCCGGTGTTGAGTACGCTTCGCGCGGCGCTGTCTGGAGAGTTGCCCGTTTACGGGCGACGACGGAAGACCGCACGCTCTTGCTTTGGAAGTGGCCAGGTGGGATGATAACTTTCTTTTCCCATGAGCAGTTTCCCACGACCTCCCTCCCCAATCCGTCTGCACCCACGCCCAGCAAGCGGCAACAGTCCTCACGTACCCCAGAGGGAAGCCAAGGAAGCATCAGACTTGCGCTTCCCCATGAAGCACAAGGTGCGCCTGCAAGCTCCTAGGCCTGCGCGCCGCGTCGCCGATGCATTGGCGATACTGCTCGATGATGGGCCCATTGTTCACCACCACTACCATAAGTAGGAGAGGGAGGAGGAGGAGGAGGAGGAGGAATCCTCATCCTCCCTTCTGGCCCGTCCTACATATGGTATTGGTGGTGGAAAGTCTGCCCATCACTCGATGTTGAGCCCGATCTGCTCCGCGCCGACGTCGCGGATGCATCGACGATGCATCTTGGCGGCGCGGGGGGGGAATTTGAGATAAGGGCGGGCCTCCCCAGAAGGCTCGGAAGGCTCCGGGCCGTCTCAGCATCTTGCCAAGCCTTCCCACGGGACACAGCACTTCTCAGAAGGCTGGAGGGCTTGTGAGAATCCCTGGCGTCTTCTGGGAAGGCCTGCGGAAAAGAAAAAGCGGCATGAACATCCGCGCGGATTTCTTGGATTCGCGCTGGCGCCGCCCCTGGCGCGCTCCGCGCGCCAAGGAAAGGGGGGTCCATCGCAGATCCAAGACATCCGCGCGGAGCACCAACATTTGTTGCCCGTGCCGTGCTCGCTTTCTCTACTGCTGTACCTGCACGCCGCTGGTGTTCGCGCCCACCGGCTTGACTTACCAGCCTGGAACATATCCCTATCCCTATGCTGGGCACCTCCTCATCACGATGCTGATCTTTGGGATTCCCTTATTTGTTGGGGGCGAATCCCTAAGATTGTCATCGCCTTTTGGCGTGTCAATCTTAGAGATAGGGATACGTTCGAGGCTGGTAAGTCCTGCGCGCGTCTCCCTCGCCCCCGGGGCCCCCCGGCGTGCGCCCCTCCCCCGCCTGCGCTCGGCCCCCCTCTGTGCCCGAGTCGCCCGCCACCGCAGCCCACCTTGGCCAGAGGGAGCGCGGCGGGGCCGCGCCGAAGCCGCCGGCCAAGACGTGGTTTTGGAGGAGGCCCAGCTCCTCCTCCTCCTCCTCCCCCTCCTCCCCCTCCTCCTCCTCCTCCCCCTCCTCCCCCTCCTCCCCTCCTCCTGCTCCTCCTCCTCCTCCTCCCCCTCCTCCTCCTCCCCCTCCTCCTCCCCCTCCTCCTCCTCCTCCTCCTCCTCCTCCTTGTGCTTTTTGGACGTGGGGGGATAGGCGTAGGTCACCGAGCGCGTGCCACTGCCCGCAGAGTGGCCACTCGCAGTGTCCCCCTCCCGGCGGGTGCAGGCCCCTCGCGAGCAGTCACTCCGCGAGTGGTGGAGCGCGCAAGGGGGGGGGGGACGCATCGACCCCCCGCCGCCCGTGGATCGCCCACAGGGGCCCATCTGCCCCTCGACTCGCGAAGGACCTTTCACAGATCCACCTAGGTTCGTATGGAACAAACTGCGTCGAACTACGTCGACCTATCTGGCTTCACCCCACCAGTTCGAGCGCAGAACAACCGCTAAACCCTGAGGGTGACGAGTGGCCCGCTCCAGAAACTCTGAACCCTCGAATGCCATCTCTTAAGTGCGATCCTTTGCTCCCGCCGCCGATCCATCGGCGATACATCGCCGCTCCCGTGTCGGGGTGCTCCCTCCCCAGGCCCGTCCCTCGGCCTCGCTCGGACGCGTGCCATTTTTTTTTCCTTCGGCGAGGACCATCGAGGAGCGTCCCTGATCATTTTTGGCGAACAAGCCACGCACGAAACCGAACGAAAAAAGCACACGGAATGGACGTCCGAGCGATGGCGAGGTCCCCCTTTTCATCAGAACGCGCCTCAAGGACTGAGGCCTCCTGAGCCTTCCGAGGAGGCCCGCCCCTCTGCTCCCCCCCCATGGCTCCGCCGCCGAGAAGTGGACCCCTTGACAGACCACCCTCTCAGGAGCTTGTGCTCTCTGCGCGCAGCCCTGGAGTTTCAGAGTCCTGCCACAGTTCGCCGCAGCGACCAGGAGAGGAGTGGACGAAGGAGGGGAGACTGCATAGAGTCTTGGCGAGGTAGTGGCGGCCTCGTCCAGGGTGTGGTGAAGGCTGTGAAGCTCGTGCTCTTCTTCCACCAGTACCAAGTCGAGACTGCGCCAGCCTGTCTTACAGTCAGTCGTCGTGTTGGCTGCCTCTGTCTTCCATGTCGTCTGCCGCACGAAGGGGAGGCGATGTTGGCTGCGTTGCTGTGGCGCAGCACAGCGGGGCATCGCCATTACCAAGTCGGTTGGGACCGTTGCCGAAGCGGGGATTGTTCCACAACCGCCGCCCTGAGGATCGCCCTCCGGGGACCTCGTCGGGTGGTGGTTGTGGAGATGTTCGGGCCCCAAGGGCCCCAAATGTGTCCATATCCACTGCCCCCTGGGGTCCCAGGACGTCGGTTCTCCAGGCGGTGGATATGGGGATTTGTTCCCGGCTCGCATCGGCGCGCGTGCGATCTCAGTCACGAAAGTCTAGCAAAACGTCGCAGCAACAAACGTGAGGTACAGACCGATAACGGTCACACGAGAAGTGATACAGATTGGCCGCCGCGATGGTTGGGCGCTCCAGCGCTTGGTAGGCAAGCATCATGCGACGATGACTTACCCACCGCATATGTCAGAGTGCCACCAGGACGTGAGACATGCACCACGTGTCTGAGAGAGCATTGCAGGCAATGACACCCATTGACCACAGTTTGCGTGGCTGCGAAGTTTAGTAGTTAATGCCTGCGCTAACCAGTCGATGGCCGCATCTCGCGTAGCTGTTCAGTGACATATCCTTATAGTGCAGCTGAAGTGGCAAACACCAAACAGGTTTCATCCCATCCTACCGCCACGCGCGATGATCCACGTACCCTCCCCACTCGAGCACACGCCATGCGTCTTTGTGTGGAGGGGGTGGAAGCAGAGTGAGAGACAGGTGTATACATGTACATGTATATATAAACATGTGAATGAGAGAGAAGAGCAGAAACGAATTTAGTCACCTATTTGCTGCCTGCAAACGAAACGTTTACACAAAGAGAGAGAGAGAGAGATACAGTCGGGGCGCTGAAGAAGGAACCATTTTCGTGGGGGGGGGCTCGGTGTTCCTTGATTGTTTCACAGTTTGCCTCAGGTTTTTCTTAGGCTTTCGGTGGGAGGTCGAAGTTTATCTTCTGGAGAAAAGGGGCCTCGCTCCTTATTTTTTGGGTTCCTCAGGTCAACACCCCGACGGTAAAAAAAACAGAGAGAGAGAGAGAGTGAGAGACAGAGACAGAGGCAGAGAGAAGGAGATGCCAGGGACGGCAGCAATCGGCGGCGCCCCCCGCGCTCACGCCCGCGTGTGCTGTGCACACCTCGCCCGCCGCCTCGCGCCCGCCGCGCGCTCTTTTTCTCGGCAGAGCTGCCCAGGCCCCGCCCGCTTTGGGGCGCGAGGATAGCCGCCGCTCGCGTGGCGCAGCCTGGGCCTCGCGGGGGGGACCACCTAGGAGACCCCCCTCCCCTTCTTTGCTCGAGCTCCACCAAGAAGGCCCCAAGAGGGCCCCCACGGCTCCCAGGAGAGGGCCCCAAGAGGGCCCCAGGAGGCCCCCAGGACTTCGTGGGCCCTGGAGACGACAGGGCCGATTTTTTGCCGGTTCCGGTCTTTCCGTTTTGGTTGCCGGTTCCGACGCCCTTTTTGTTACCGGTTCTGGTTTGTCGTTTTTTGACCGGCTCCGGCTCCGGTTCCACTCCCGGAGCCATTTTTTGGCTGTTTCCGGTCGCCGTTTTTTTGCCGTTTCCATTTTCAAGGGATTTTTTTTTGAAATTGTGAAAAAACGGCCCTGCCGTTTCTGGGGCCCACAACGGTCCAGGCCACCCGCTAGGGCGCGAGGATACCCGCCGCTCGCGTTGCGCAGTCTGGTCTGCAGAAGTTCCGCAGAGCGGTCTCGGCGAGGCTCTGATGGCCGAAGCGTTGACACCGCCCGCTGGAGACGAGCAAAGCCTCGAGAGCGACGTGCGGGCCAGGCACCATCCCACCCCTCGCCGCCCACCAAGCCACCCCAACCCAACCCGAAGGCCCCGATTTGCCCTCTGTTTCCAGCGGGGGGGGGTGTCTTGGAGCCTTGAACAGACACGTGTGGAACACCCCCTGACCCGAAATTCGGGTCCTCGGGTCAGGCTGGGGTTGTCTGGTCCCAGACGTGCGACGTCCTGAGTTTTCCAGCACGGCGTCCCCAGAAGTCCCGACCCTTTCCTTGGGGCCGGTGTTCCCCCCTGGGTCGTTTTTTGATGGCCCCGAGGCCCCGCGAGGGCCCCCCGAGGCCAACAGTATACCCCAAAACCGTCCGTCCTGATTTTTATGTTCGACGCGATCATGCCTGGGGCAGGCAGCCCACCCCTGCCCAGGACCGCGTGCCGCCTCGGCGCCGTGGCGCTCTCCGCCAGCAGCCTCGCCCGGCTCCCGGGGAGGAGGGGAGGCCGTCCGCTCGGGGGCAGGGCCGCGACGAGGGGGGCCTCCGCGGCTGCCCCGCCTCCCGCCCGGGGGGAGCCCTCGTGGGGCCCCATGCCCTTCAGAGCTTCCACCCTCCCCCCCCATCCTCCTGCTGCTCCTCCTCCTGCTGCTCCTCCTCCTCCTCCTCCTCCTCCTCCTCCGCCTCCTCCTCCTCCTCCTCCTCCTCCTCCTCCTCTCCTCCTCCTCCTCTCCTCCTCCTCCTCCTCCTCCTCCTCTCCTCCCTCCTCCCCCTCCTCCCCCTCCTCCTCCTCCTCCTCCTCCTCCTCGTCCTCCTCCTCCTCCTCTCTCCTCCTCTCCTCTTCTTCTTCTCCTCCTCCTCCTCCTCCCTCCTCCTCCTCCTCCTCCTCCTCCTCTTCTACTCCTCCTCCTCCTCCTCCTCCTCCTCCCGCCCCAGGACAGGTTCTGCAAGGGAACAGGCAAGAAGGGCATGGAGAAGCACGGTGTTGCTGGAAAGCCCGCGCACGGAGGCGGTAACGGCAAGGACAATCAAGGAGGTGGCAAGGGCAAAGGCGACGCTGGCCAGGGCACGGAGGAGTACGGCAGCGTTGGAAATTCTACACGCGCGAATCGGAGGGTGACGGCATACCAGCTAAGGCAACAAATTCTTAAGGCAACATTGGCAACAAGCAGCTCTTCATGGTTTTTGTGCGGAAGCCTTTTTTAATCCCGGCGTCCGATGGTATCCACGGGATCCTGGAGAGGTGGCGAGAGATCAGGATGTCAAAGGAGTACGAACAGGCGGTGCAGCTTTCCACGAGGCGCACCGAGGAGGTGGCCAACGTTCATCGCGCGCAATTTCAATTTTACCACCCAGAGCAGCGCGCGGAGTCGCACGATGTCTTCGACAGATTAAGGAAGTGCCATCATGAAGCGTTCGACGTTCTCTAACAAACAAAACGGCGGAGGCCTGAGAACACACCCGCCGCGTATCTCGCCACCGACATGGTCGTCCCTACCGCGGCGTAGCCAGCAGCGCGCAGAATTAGAGTGTTGATCAGCCTTTGAATGGACTGCAAAGCCTGAAGGAGGGGAGAGCGCAGCGTTGCAAACATGTTGCCGTAGTGCTGGTGTAGATGAGTCCTTTGCAGCTGGCTGGGTGGCTGGAAGCGAAGGAGGAAGTGAAGAGGGGAGGAGGGGGGTAAGGATGGAGTGGAGGAGGGGAGAGGGGGCAAGGAGGACGTGAGGGATGTGGGAGGGGGGTGGGGGAAGTGAGGGAGGGGGGGGGGGGAAAGTGAGGGAGGGGGGGGGGGGGAAGGAGGATGTGAGGAATTGACGAGGTGAGGGACGGTGGAGGGGGCAGGAAGGAGGAAACGACAAAAAACAGGGCACACACCCACTTCCGGACCTCCTCGCGGATTTCCCTTGGTGTTGCGTCGGGGGGGCCTTCGGCCTGGCCTCTGGCGCGCCCCGCGCGCCAGGGAAGGGGGCCCTGCGCCGCCGATCCTAGAAGCTTAGCACGGACCTCCGACAGCTCGTGTTTCTGTGAACGTCCCAGCCCCTGTTGGCTTGCCCTTCGTGCGGCCCTGGCAACGACAGGGCTGTTTTTTTGCCGGTTCCGCTTTGCCGTTTTTGTTGCCGGTTCCGACGCCGTTTTTTGACCGGCTCCGTCGCCGTTTTTTGACCGGTCCCGGCTCCAGCTCCAATTTGGGAGCCGTTTTTTTGCCGTTTCCGGTCGCCTTTTTTTTGCCGTTTCCACTTTCAAGGGACATTTTTTTGGGAAGCGGTGCAAAAACGGCCCTGCCGTTTCCGGGGCCCACAAAGGGCTTGCCATCGCTCGGACGTGTTCTTTTTTTTTTCTCGGCGAAAGCCATCGAGGAGCATCCGTTCGGAGGGCACCAACTATACACCAACACCGATCCTGGCCAAGGATCACCCTGGGCCCAGGATCGGTGTATATGCCTTCTTGCGCAAGGCAGGAGGGCGTATACACCGGGCCCAGGGTGATCCTGGCCAGGATCGGTGTCGGTGTTGGTGTATAGTTGGTGCCTTCCTATACTTGATTATCTAACACACAAGTACACCGAATCATGCACGGGGAAGGGGCGTCCGAGCGATGTCCAGTTGGTGGCGTATGTTTGGGCAATTGTGTTCCCTTCAGGCTCAGCCTCTCCGCCACCAGCGTCCTCGCGTCGCCGGCCACGCTGCTGCTCTTCGTGGCGATGACGTGCTATTCCACGGTGCCCGATGCGACCGCGGCGGCGCTGGACCTTCCGGCGCTGACGGGGGCGGTTTTCTGCTCATGGCGGCCCGCCTCTATCAGCCGAACATGCAGGTGAGCGAAGAAAGTCGGTGGCCGAATGCGTGCCCGAAGCTGTGACAGAACACGTCGATTGGCCGAAATAGCGGGCCAGGTTGAAGGTCGTTTTGGTTTCGAACCCGGGCGCGGTCGGACAATTTCGGGCGCCAGTTCCGGTCGCATTCGGACAACGTTTGGGCAAAGTTTCGGTTACGACGCGTCCCTGATAGAGACGAGGTTACGGGAATCATCCGATGATGAGGATATCGAGTCGTGCGAAATTGCGTTCGCATTCATTGTCGCATGTCCGCGCGGACTTCTGGGATTCGTGGTGGGCTGGATTCGCCTCGACATGCTGGTCAGAGCGCACCCCAGGAGGGGTCTCGGGAGTGGCGGTCTCGATAATTGTTGTCCCCATATGATTCGCTCGTCCTCCTCGGTCGTCGTCGTCGTCGTCGCGACCTTCCCCGCCTCCGTCGTCTTCTCCCCTTATCATGGAAGGATGCCCCCCTCCTTCGTTTTCCCGTCACTTGTCTTCCGCCATCCCTTTCCATGGCGTCGGCCTCCTCCTGGTTTTTTTCATCAATCCTTCTGCGTCGTTCCGCACCGCTTCTTCCGCGTAGGCGCACGCATCGTGTGGTGCGATTCCCTGCATACAAATAGAAGAGATGGCCGAGTATGTTTCTCTTTCACAAGCGGCGCGCTCGGGGGGGGGAAGTGAGAGTGGGCGCGCCTTTTTCAGAAAGCTCGAAAGTCCCCCGGCCTTCAATAGAAGTTGCCTGAGCTTTCTCCGAAAACGCAGACACCCCCCAGCAGGCGTGAGGGCTTCTGAGAAGACCGCCGCCTTCTGAGAATGCTTTCTCGTGTTCGCTCACACACGGGCGCATATGTTCATGTATACGTATGCATATAGGTGAATATATTTGTATACACAAACATACATCTACACATATTTATATATACATAGGTATTTGTACATAGATGCGTATATACATATATATATATATGCATTCACATATAGATATGTGTATGCACACAAATATCTATCCTATATCACATATCAGACTGAGGCGGCCGCACGGTCATTCATTGTCCCTGGGCGCGTGGCTGAATAAGGAATCCTTGGTGAGAAATTTGCTTGTTGTATTGTTGTTGTAATTGTTGTTGTTATTGGCATTTGTCTCCTTGTTGTTGATGTTGCTGTTGTTGTTGTTGGTGTTGTTGTTGTTGTTGTTGTGGTTGTTGTTGCTGTTGTTGTTGTTGTTCTTGTTGCTGTTGTTGTTGTTGTTGTTGTTGTTGTTGTTGTTGTTGTTTGTTGTCGCCGTCCCACCCGCGACCCACCTGGGACCCACCCCGCGACCCATCCCGCAACCAACCCCGCGACCCACCCCGCGACCCATCCCGCGACCCATCCCGCGACCAATCCCGCGACCCACCCCGCGACCCAACCCGCGATCCACCCGCGACCCAACCCGCGACCCACCCGCGACCCACCCCGCGACCCACCCGCGACCCACCCTGAGACCCATCCGCGACGCATCCGCGACCCACCCGCGAACCACCCCGCGACCCACCCGCGACCCATCCTGCGAGGCACCCTCAAGAGAGGAAAAACCAGCGGACCCGACATTTGACGATTACTAAAACGTCCCAGGGCGTTGACTAAACAGCCCTGCCCTGTTCGATTCTTTCCTCGTGTGCGTTTGCTAAACGGCTTCGCTTGTCGGGGTGACTATTATGGGTTGGATTTCTGCCCTCTACACGCGCGACCCAACAGCGACCCACCCGCGACGCTCCCCGCGACCCACCCCGCGACCCACCCGCGACCCATTTGCGACCCACCCGCGACCGACCCGCGACCTACCCACATTGGTTTAACGAAAGAATCGGCGCCTGCGGCGGGCTCGATGTATAATTTGTGAAACTTTGGCGCCTGCGGCGGGCTTCTCAAGAGTCTCGAAAGCTGCCGACGTCCCCGCCGCCGCCTCACTCTTATCCGCATTTGCGGGGTGCTACGTGTATATGTATATGTATATGTATATCTATATCTATCTATATATATACACATCGGAGGTTGGGTGGTGAATCCGACGTGAAACGGAGACCCCCCCTACCGGGAATCGATTTCGGTTTCGGGTTCGTGTCGTGCGTGCCGTGCGTGCGTGCGGGCGAGGCGAAGCTACGTGTGCGGGCGAGAGGAAATCCTCCTGTGGCTGACCCGCGGCCGGACCAAATGTTGCTCCTCCGGCGGCCGGTGCCGCGCGGTGTCCCGCCGGTGTCCCGCTGGTGTCCCGTGGTGTCCCGTGGTGTCCTGTTGAGGGATATTGAGCGTGAGATCGATACTGAGATCGATACTGAGATCGATACTGAGATCGATGTGGTGACCCGAGGTGTCCCGTGGTGTCGCGTGGTGTCCCGCTGAGAGAGATCGATCGTGAGATCGATAGTGAGATCAACAGGTGTCCCGAAGCGTCCCGTGGTGTCCCGTTGAGTGAGTTCGATCGTGAGAGATCTATCGTGAGATCGATAGTGAGATCGATGTGGTGTCCCGAGGTGTCCCGTGGTGTCCTACGGTGTCCCGCTGAGTGAGATCGATAGTGAGACCGATAGTGAGATCGAGAGGTGTCCCGCGGTGTCCCGTGGTGTCCCGTGGTGGCCGTGTTGTCCCGTTGTGTCCCGTTCAGTGAAATCCATAGTGAGATCGACAAGTGTCCCGTGGTGTCCCGTGGTGTTCCGTTTAGTGAGATCGATAGTGAGATCGATTGAGTCAGATGTTCGTTCCCCCCCTCTTCCCCAAGAGTGAGGGGTCCGAACGGTCATTCATTGTCCTTGGGTGCGTGGACCGACCACGACGACGACGACGACGACGACGTCGAAGACGACCGCGACGACGACGGCGACGACGAAGGAAAGCGAGAGCGAGAGAGAACGACAGCAGGGCCACAAAGGGCACGAAGTAGGCCACGAAGGGCGACAGCGGGGACACGAAGGGAATGCGTATGGGGCCACGGAGAGCGCGAACGAAAGTGCAGATAATGCGGGGCCACAGACGGCAACTATGGGGCCACTGAGGGTAGCAACTGGGCCACGTAGGACAGTGAGGGGGACACAAATGGCGACAGCGGGGCCACAACGGGCGCGACTCCTGGGTGCCTGGGTGTCGGGAGCGCGGCGCTTGGGCAAATCGCAGGAAATCCCAACGCAAGGCCATTCTTCAGTAAGTTGCAAGCAAGTCTCCAGCGAGAGCGCGACTCCAGAGCACCAGGAGAGCGATTCTTGAATAAATTGTAAGGAAGTCCCAAGCGAGAGCGCGATTCCTGAATAAAATGCGAGGAAGTTCGGGCGGGAGCGGGGGTCCTGGCTAAATTGTAAGGAAGTCTCAGGCGGGAGCCGTTGTTGTTGTTGTAACCCGGGGCCAGGGGCCCAGTTTGCGCATCACGACTTTCCATGTCAAAAAAGCAGGTTGCGAGCGTTGAGGAGCACACTTTGATTGAGAACAACAGTATGCACCGGTGGGGGGGATCAACAATAGTTATTCTTCAGGAGTGAGAATTTACCAACAACAACAACAACAGCAACAACAACAGCAACAACAACAACAACAGCAAACAATAACAACAACAAAAACAACAACAAGCAGAATTCCCACCACGAATTTCTTATTCAGCCACGCGCCGAGGGACAAGGAATGACAGTTCGACCCCTCCACTCTGATAAAAATGTGCGTTTTTTTTGTTTTTTTGTTCTCTCTCTCTCTCTCTCTCTCTCCCCCACAGGCGTGACGGGCATGCGGCGGGCGCACTTCGGGCTCCGAGAGGGGTGTGTGGTTTTTCTGCTGGGCCTGCAGAGGCCTGGCCCTCCGCCCTGCGAGGAAGACTCTCTCCGCGCGATGTGGCCCCGCTCCCTCGACCGCAGTGTAGCTCCGCGTCGCTCCGAGGCCCCCTCGTGAGGCCATCGTGCCGCTTGCCTTGACGTCGTCGTCGTCGTCGTCGTCGTCGTCGTCGTCGCCGTCTCACGCAGTCCGGCCGCGGCGCGGCGGCGCGGCCCATCCCGAGAGCCGGCGGGGGCCCGAGCGGCAGGGGCTCCAGGTGCATGGGCGAGTCGATCTTTGGCCCTTCCGCTTCCGGCGGGTTCTCGTCGTAGTCGTCTCGGGCGTCGAGCAATGTCAGAGCCCCGAATCATCAGGGGTAATTCGGGTCAGGGCTAACTCGGGTTCGTTTTTCGGGAGTCCGAACCCGAGTTATCCCGGACCCGAGTTACCCCGGATATTTCGGGCGTCCAGAGCCCCGAATCATCAGGGGTAACTCGGGTCAGGGTTAACTCGGGTTCGTTTTTCGGGAACCCAAGCCCGAGTTACCCCGGACCCGAGTTACCCCGGATAACTCGGGCGTCCAACAATGGGGGGTGCGAGGGACGTCGGCGGCGAGCGCGGGGGAACACATGCGAAGGAGACGGCCTTTTTTTCGGAAGGCGGCGGGACTTCTCAGAAGCCTTCGCGCCCTCCTTGAGATTTCCCGTGCCTTTCGGGGGAGCCCAGGGCATTTCTCAGAGTGCCGGGGGGCCTCCGAGCCTTCTGAGAAGGCCCGCCTCTTCTCACTCCTCCCCCGGACTCGCCGTTGAGCAAGGGAGGGGGCGGCAAGGGCGGGAGGCTGGCATTTGCGTGCGGCTGCTTGTTGTTGTTATTGTTGCTATGTCTATTCCGCATCCTCCCTCCGTCCGCCTTGCTTCACACACACCTTCTCTTGAAGTTCCAGGACGGTCGAAATGGGTACTGAGAGGACGGGCGCAAAGACAGACAGCATGCCATGCGCATTTTGAACATGGATCGCTGCGCGTTGCGACGCGGACGTTGCCCATGTGAGACAAGAAGCCCGCCTGCCCAACAGTGGCAGATGTTGGTTTGGGACAACATTTGCTGTCGGGCCGCCTCTGCCTGGCCCCCTCCTCCATCTCTTCGGATGCAACTCCTGGGAGGTCAAATTCTGGTGTTGCCCTGGTCCGAAGTCCGGCATAATCCCGCTTAATCTGGTTCAATCCCGCTGAATCCCGCTCAATCCGGCTTCATCCTGCGTAGTCCGAGACCCACTCCGGCGTAACAGCTCCCAAATGGGGCCTAATCCTCCTTAGTCTTTCCGACGAAAACCTCCCAGTAGTTGCCTCCTAAGGGGCCCTTGTTTGATTATTCAGTTGGTCTTCGCCATCGAAGCCCCAGCGACGATCTGTCGGCGGTGCATCGCCGATCCCAGGTCGAGGCTTCCTCTCCCGAGGCTGTCCGCCCCTGGACGCTGCCTCCTGACAGCTCCGCGCGGCGCAGATGGGGAGCGATTCGAGGTGCACGCGCGCAGCCCGGAGTGGCGAGCAGGCGCCCACCGAGCTCGCTCGGACGTGTGCAATTTTCTTTTGGCGAGGACCATCGAGCAGCATCCTTGATCATTTGGCGAAAAAAACACGCACGAAACCGAAAGAAGCACAGGAAATGGACGTCCGAGCGATGGCCAGGGAGCAGGCCCTGCCTCCTGGGCCTCGCGGCCACACGCGCCAGCGGGGCGTGGCAGCGCCGGGCGCTGACGAGCGCACGCGATCCGTGCGCGGGGCGGAGCGGTGGAGCGGGTGCGCAGCAGCAGCAGGCGTGCCGGGCGGGGATGCTGCGCCAGAGCGCCATTCCAGGCCCGGATGCATCTCCTGGGAGGTCAATTTCTGATTTAGCCCTGGTCCGAAATCCCGCTTAGTCCCGCTTAATCCCGCTTGATCCGAGGCCCAGTGGGATGCATTGACTCCCAGTCGCCCACTCATCGCCGACAGTTTGCTGATAGCCCGCCCCGCCCAGGAGCGTGCGGAGTCGTCAACCATCGAGGGCCAATCGCCGATCTGTTGGCGATCTGTCAGGTGGGAAAAACACACAGACACAATCAATCGTCGATCCCAAAGAAATATAGGAAAATATGGGAATTGGGCGGGAAGACAAAAACCCAGAACATATTGGAAAATATGGGGAATCTTTGTATGTGTGTGTTTATATGTGTGTCCTTGGGCCCCTTGAATCTGTCGCCGAATCCAGGTCAGTGTTCCTCCCAACCTGAGCCAGTTCTGTATCGTTCCCCCCAGTGCAGAGCGGAGGCATTCTCGGGCGGGCCCAGGACTGGGACAGATCCTCCCGGAGCGTTGCGGTGCGCTCTCGGAGCGCTCGGCAGCGCCCCGGAAGGGCCGCGGCGCCCCGATGTGTCCCTCTCCGATCATGTCCTTGTCCTGGCCTCGTCTTAATATCGGCCTCCCGAGGGTAGAGGAGGAGGTAGGGGATCAGGAAGAGGAGGCGGATAAAGAGGAGGAGGAGGAGGGGGAGGAAGAGGAGGATGATTTGGAGGAGGGAGGAGGGAGGAGGGAGGAGGGAGGGAGGAGGGAGGAGGGAGGGAGGAGGAGGGAGGAGGGAGGAGGAGGGAGGAGGGAGGAGGAGGGAGGGAGGAGGAGGAAGAGGAGAGAAGGCTGCAAGAGGAGGAGGTGCCTCCCCCCCCCCTCAACGGGGACGGCAGGCGGCCACCTGGCGCCGCGTCGTGGGGCTGCGCCAGAGTCTGCAGGACAAGCGCGCGCGCGAGGAGGCGGCGCGCCCTCCCCGGGGGGGGGGGAGGGGAGGGAGGGGCAGGGATCGGGGGCCCCCAAAAGTCGGGGGCGGAAAAGAGGGGGGTGATGACTAGGGGGGGGTGGATATCATGGCGGGTGCCATGATATCTCCCCAGATTTCCTGGCGCCTCTTCTTGTTTCATTACGTCCCTGGCCCCCCCGCTGGGCCGCGCACATGCCGCCGGTCATGTTTTGCACCCCCCCCTCTTGGACACCCTCCTCTTTGCCGCTCCCGAGGCAGGGATCGGGGGCCCCCAAAAGGTGTGGTGACCACACCGTGCGGTGAGTCGGTGGGGATGCGGGGTCACCGCACTGTTTGGGGGACTCGGGTCGTTCTCCGAAGACGTCGCGGGCGACAGGGGCCTCGGGGGTCCCAAGACCGTGCGGTGACGGACCGTGCGGTGAGGTCTTGGGGGGATTTCGAGGTCACCGCACGGTCTGTCACCGCACCGTTTCGGGACTCCCAAAGGGAGGCAGGGAGGTTTGGGCGGCATGGAAGGGAGGGAAGAAGGGGCTACGGCAGGATCACGCGGCGATGGCAAGTCGGCGACGATCGAAGCGGTGGCAGAAATCTGTGCGCGCGCCGGCGCGCACCGACCTAACGTCAGGAGGGGGCAAGAAGGGAGGGAGGGTGGTGGGACGCTGGCATGAGCGCAGACCTTGAGCTTTGTCGAAGAGGCGCCGCTCAGCGGCGCTGAACGGATAGTGAGCAATCTCGTGAAGCCCAGCGTCGAGCATGGGAGTATCCACGGTGACGGTGCCTGGAGAGGGCTCATGGGACAGGCCAGGGCGCCCAGAAGAGGAGGAAGTTGCGGAGGGGGAATCGGATCCTGAGCAGAAGGAAAACCAACTGCAGGATGACGGCGATGAGCTCGAGGAGTGACGAGCAGGCGTCGGAGCAGGATGGGGAGGAGGAGGAGGAGGAGGATGAGGAGGAGGAGCAGCAGCAGCAGCAGCAGGAATGGCAGCGGGAGGCAGATGACGATGATGATGATGAGGATGATGAGGATGATAAAGATGATAAAGATGATAAAGATGATGATGGTGATGGTGTTGATGATGTTGATGGTGATGGTGATCAGGATGATCATGATGATGATGATGATGATGATGATGACGATGATGGTGATGGTGATGGTGAAGCTCGTGCTGATCATGGTGATGGTCATGGTGATGTTGATGCAGAGGAGGATGATGATGACGATGACGATGCCGATGATGATGATGGTGATTATGACGACAATGGTGATGATGATGCTAATGATGATTACGCCGGTGATGATGATGATGATGATGATGATGATGTTGATGATGATGATGATGATGATGATGACGATGATGATGATGATTATTATGCCGACTATAATGATGATTCGTGATGCGTATGATCATGATGACGATGGCGATGATGATGATGATATGTATGATGATGGTCATGATGATAGCGATCATGATGATGTTGATGATGATGATGATAATGCGGAGGATGATTATGATTATGTTAATGATGATGTTACGCATGCTGATGATGACGATGGTGATGATGAGGATTATGATGATGTTGATGGCGGTGACGATGACGATGGCGATGATGATGATGACGATGCTGGTGTTGTTTATGAGTATGATGATTACCATGGTGCTGATGATGAAGACGATGACGATGAGAAAGAGGAGGAGGAGGAGGTCGATGAGGAGGACGAGGAGGATCATGATGAAGATGGGTATGAGGATGATGATGATGATGATGATGATGATGATGATGATGATGATGACGATACTGCTGCTGCTGATGATGATAAGGAGGTGGATGAGGCGGAGGAGGAAGAGGAGGATGAGAGGGGCGAGGATGAAGGTGAGCATGAATTGGAGGAGGAAGAGGAGAGTCGGGATGAGGATGAGGATGAGGATTAGGGTGGTGATGAAGATTGAGATGAGAAGGATGATCATGATGAAGATGGCAGTGACGATGATGCCGATGATGATGGTTATGATGGTTATGATGTTGAATGCGATGATGCTGATGATCATCCTCATCATCAACATCATCATGATGCTGATGTTAATGATAGTATGATGATGCTGACGATGACGATGATGATGATGACGATGACGATGCTGATTATGATGATGATGTGGATGCTGATGCTGATACCGATGATGATTGTGATGCCGATAACTTGGCATCGCTCGGCCGTGTGTGTTTTTTCCGGCGAGGACCATCGAGGACCATCCTGGACCATCGACCAACAAAACACGCCTAATTTGACAAATGCACAGGAAATGGACGTCCGAGCGACGGCAAGATGGTGATGATGCTGCTGATGTTGCTGACGATGATGATGATGATGATGATGATGCTGCTGATGCTGTTGACGATGATGATGATGATGATGATGATGATGATGATGATGATGATGATGATGATGATGATGATGATGATGACGACGTTGATGAAGATGCTGCGGCCATGTTTCAGACAGGTGATGGCGACCGCCGACTCTGGGGCTCCCACCCCCCCCACCGAAAGTGACAGAACAGGTGACCACGTGTGCTTTGATCCTTGGGGTGCCCAGTCTGCAGAAGGAGGATCAAGAGGAGGAAGAGCAGGAGGAGCAGGAGAAGGAGGAAGATGAGGAGGAAGAGCAGGAGGAGGAGGAGGAGGAAAAACAGGAGGAAAAAAACAGCAGGAGGAGGAGGAGGACGAAGAGCAGGAGGAGGAGGTGGAGGAGGAGCAGGAGGAGGAGGAGGAGGAGGAGGAGGAGGAGGAGGAGGAGGAGGAGGAGGGGCAGGAGCAGGAGCAGGAGCAGGAGGAGGGGCAGGAGGAGCTCCTCCTTCGCGCCTGGCCAGCGCCAAGACGCAGCCCGGAGCCGCGCGCGCCCGGCCGGCAGAGGCCCTGCGCGCCGAGCGCGCCGCCGCGGCTGCCCGGGCCCGCGACCCCGTGGTGCGGCGGCGGGCGCCGGCGGAGGGCCAAGGCCCCGCGGGCGGCGGGGGTCGGTGGCACACGGGTCGGGTATGGCCAGGACCCCAGACTCGGGGGCGGGCAAGAGGGGGGTGATGACTAGGGGGGGGTGGATATCATGGCGTGGGCCATGACATGTCCCCAGGCGAGGGCCCAGGCCCCGCGGGCGGCGGGGGTCGACGGCATGCTGGTCGGGTATGCAGTGCCGTTTTTTCAACAGGCTCCGCGGTTCGGGCGTGTGCGGACGTGTGCGTCGGCTCTCGGCGGTGTTTTTTCCAGCCTCGGGACGCTTGCCAGCAGCTGCGCCTCGCCGAGGGCGTTCCGGGGCTGCCCGGATCGTCCCGAACGGCCGCCGGAGACCCGAGGTATGAGCCATCTCTCGGCGTGGAGCGAGCGCTCCCAGGTTACAGTGCCGTTTTTAATACATGCCCCGCGTGCGGATCATGTACTAAACATGCAGAGATGCAGTACCAAAAACAACAATGAGTTCCTGCATACTCTTATTCATGCATGAATCATGTATTAGGAACCCTATATGTTTAAACATCCGATGTATAAAAAAAAATGCCCTGTAGCCAGGAGCCCAGACAAGGGGACCCGTTCAGTGGTTGGGCCCTGGAGCCCCCAAATTTGCCAGAATCACTAGACCAGGTCTGCCGCAGCTGGTGTTTTGTCGGGCGACGGCAGTTCCGGTTAGTGGAACGGGGCGGGGGGGGCGTCCCCGAGTACAAATCACTAAACCAGGTCCCACTAAACCCAGTTCTGCCAATGCCCGAACGGGGGCCCCCAAACGGGGTGGTGACCACAACGTGCGGTGAGTCGGTGGGGATTCGGGGTCACCGCACGGTTTTGTGACTCGAGCCCCTCTCCGAAGACGTCTCGGGCGACAGGGGCTTCGGGGGTCCCAAGACCGTGCGGTGACGGACCGTGCGGTGAGGTCTCTTGGGTTTCCGAGGTCACCGCACGGTCTGTCACCGCACCGCAGGGGTCGACTGCACTCAAGCAGTGGTGAAGCGTCCTGGCTCGCCTATAGCCCTACCAAACAATGTTTTAATAACCTTCGTCTCAATCCTTCAAGACGCCAGGATGTCCCGGTCGTTCACGTCCAACAATTAAAAGTCACGCCCTGAACCCTAGACCCCATCTTCTTGCGTCATATTTCGAGCCGGATCGATCTGTGAGGGTCTTGGGGCAAGAAAATGGCAACAAGAACCCGGCTCGACAAAGATCGAGACGCCAGGATCTCAGGGTTCCCCCCCTTCTGTCGCCCCCCCACAGAAGTCACGCCCGCACAGAAGCCCGGGTCGAGAGGAGCCGCCAGTCTGAGCTGGGGGAGCGGGGTTTTGGTGCAGAGGGGTCGACGGCGGGAGAAGGGGGACCGGCGCCCGTGGGTCGCGGGCTCTCCCTTGCGCGGCCTGCTCATCTCGCGGGTGGCAGCTATCCCAGACATGCCTGTCAAGCAGTGGCGAAGCGTCCCGGCGTGCCCATAGCCCCACCACACAAGGTTCGAAGAACCTTTTTTTTTTCTGTGGCTTCCACGAGAAGTTCTTAGAACATTCCTGGCGGGGCCTGTCTTGTTTGAACACGTCGGGTTGATGCTCAAAGAACATTGTTTTTGTTATTAGAACATGTTTGGTTCTAAAACATTTCGTGGTAGGACTACAGGAATGCCCGGACGGTCGGTCCCTGTTCAAAACACGTAAGAGTGACCTTCCGCCGGAGTGACCATTGGTGCGGGCTCATCGGGCTCCCCCCCGATCGCCGAGCGCGATGCGATAGAAGCGGCCCGCGCCCCTGGGCTTGGCTCCCTCGCGCCCCCAAAAGCTGCGCACCAAAGGTCACTCTTGCCCTGGGTCACTCTTACGCCTAGCCGAAGGGGGGGGGCCATCTCTGGGGGAACGGCGAATGACATAAACATAACAACTCGGAGGTCCGCGCGGATTTCTCGGATCCGCGCTGGACCCCCCTCCCTGTCGCGCGGGGCGCGCCAGGGGCGGCGCTGGAGGCGCCGCCAGGAGGGTCCAGCGCGGAACCGAGAAATCCGCGCGGACCTCCGAGTTCTCATGTTTATGTCATCCTTCGTTTCCTGATCTCTCGGCGCCGAGCGAGACAGGGAAGTGAGAAGGCGGCGAGCGAAGGGGGAAAGTTGCGGGTTCGAGGTGCGAGGTTTTCGGACGTGTTCGTCGGTTCTCGGCGGTTTTTTTCCAGCCTCGGGATGCTTGCCAGCAGCTGCGCCTCGCCGAGGCCGTTCCGGGGCTGCCCGGATCGTCCCGAACGGCCGCCGGAGACCCGAGGTATGAGCCATCTCTCGGCGTGGAGCGAGCGCTCCCAGGTTACAGTGCCGTTTTTTATACATGCTCCGCGTGCGGATCATGTATGAAAAAAAATGCAGGGACTTAGCATTAAAAACAACGATGAGTTCGTGCATAAATTTCGTTCATACATTAATCATGCAATTCCTATGTTTTAAAAATCCTATGTATTAAAAACTGCCCCGTACCTCCCTTCTCCATCCTCTCTTGTCTTCGCCTCTGTTCTAATTCGGCTTCCTGGGTGGGGTCTCAGTAGATGGGGTCGGAGGGTCGCGCGCCGCACCGCCGATGCATCGCCGATGCGGCGCGATGCGGAGCCCAACGTTCTCCGCGCCGACGTCGCTGGAGCATCGCTGGCAGTGCCATCGCATCGCCGACGCATCGGCGGTTCATCGCCGATGCGGCGCGGTCCTCCGACCTCATCTACTCGGAGCCCATCCAGGAGGCCTCCATCTGTGTTCCTCCCCGGTCTTCCCCAGGAGCGGAGTGCGGCTTCGCCTGTCCCCCCCCCGTCCCTTCACACATACTTTCTGTGGCACCACCGTTCCCTTCCCACTCGTTTCCCTTCCCTGTGTACCCACATCTCCCCTCTCCCTGCCCCCTCCCCCTCACTCCCCCTCCACCCTGCGTCTGGCCTCCCTCCTCTTCGCGGAGAGCAAGGGGGGGGGAGTGAGAAAGAGAAGGCTCCTCAGAAGGCGGCGGGACAGCTCGGAAGCGGAAGCCCTTGCGCCCTCTGGGAGGTTTTGTTCTGCGCCTTCGGAGAAAGCTTGACGGAAACTTCTCGGAAGGCGGGGGGCGGCCTCCGCGCCTTCCGAGAGGGCCCGCCCCTTCCCGCTTCCCCCCCTCGCTCGCCGCCGCATCTCGGAGGCAGCACCCATCTCTCGGGGGAGGAGGACGCAGACCCCCTCGCTTTGTGCAAAAGTCGCGGCAGGAAGCTTGTTCGTCCCATTCTCGGACTCCGGGGGCCTTTATGGAAACAAAAAGTCGCTATAGCCCTCGCTCTGGCCCCGGGCTCGTCACACAGAGCGACTCGGGAGGGAGCACCGCTCCCGGGGAAGGGGTCCAGACTTCGAGAGCCGGCGCCGCGAGAAAGATCACGACGTCGGGGGTTGGGGGGGGGGCGGAGATCCGCTGCCCCTCACTCGTGGCCCCCTCTTTTCAAGCAGTGGCGAAGCGTCCCGGCTCGCCTATAGCCCCACCGAACAATTCTCTAAGAACCTGTTGTGGTTTCCACGAAGTGTTCTTAGAACATTTCCGGCGGAGATTGTCTTGGTTTAACACATCGGGCCTACGTTCCAAGAACATTGTTTTTGTTACCCCAACATTTTTGGGTTCGAAGAACATCTCGTGGTAGGACTATAGGAATGCCGGGACGATCGGTCCCTGCTCAATCTTCGGGCCTCGTGCAGAGGCCCTCGTCGCCAACGCCGAAACTCGCCCCGCAGAAGTCTGGCGGGAGCGCACCCGCGGCAGTGGCCCTTGGGAGCAGGAGGGGAGCCCTCGGTGCCCGCAGGGTCGGGGGGCCCCGTCGGGGGCGCGCGCACGGGCACCGGCACGGCCTCAGTGGGCCCTGGAAACGACAGGGCCGTTTTTCTACCGCTTCCGCTCTGCCGTTTTTGTTGCCGGTTCCGACGTCGTTCTTTTGCTGGTTCCGTCGCCGTTTTTGGACCGGTTCCGGCTCCGGATCCGATCCTGGAGCCGCGTGTGTATGCCGTTTTTCCGGTCGCCGTTTTTTGTTGCCGTTTCCATTTTCAAGGGACACTTTTTTTTGATGAAACGGTGAAAAAACGGCCCTGCCGTTTCCGGGGCCCACAAAGGGCACGGCCTGCTCCCTGCAGGGCCTGGAGCGGAGCGCAGCGCCCTTCCTCGACGAGCGCGCTCCACGACTCGCAGAAGTAGCTACTCGCAGGTGGCCTGGGTCCCTCGCTGGGGATCTACGATAGGCTATAGCAAAGCAGGCGTGTGTGTGTGTGTGTGTGTGTGTGTGTGTGTGTGTGTGTGTGTGTGTGTGTGTGTGTGTGTGTGTGTGTGTGTGTGTGTGTGTGTGTGTTTCGGACGTTTGCACCGCCTGCACTCCGCACCCCCCGGCCGCCTGAGGCCCCGCCCGCCCGCGCCCTGTCTCCCCAATTAGGGCTACTCGCGCCCCGTTTAGCTCTTGACTGGAAGGGGCCCGCTCCCGACCCGCAGACCAAAACAAGTTTCGGACGTTTGCGAGTAGGCACTCTGCGAGCAGTGGAACGCGCTCGGCGACGTCCGACTTCGGTCTCGGTTCCGGCGCGGCGATCCCGACTCCCAGCCGAGGGCTTGGCGGGGTTCCCAGTCGGGCCCGATGCGGCGCGCGTTTTTTGTTTCCCGATTCTTTCGGTCCGATGGTTGGCCGATTCGATTCCGAGTTGCCGATTCGATTGAAGGGGGACCTGCGTTGTCGACGTGCCCTTGAATATGGCCTTTACTTCTGTCCGAAAAAATCAGCCGTCCCTCGCGCGTGTGTGGGACGCTTTTCCGTTTGAGTCGTCGTCGTCTTCTTCCTCGTCGTCGTCGTCGTTGCCGTCAATCCCAAGAGAATTGAGGGATACGGATATTGAAAAACGTCGCAGGCAAGGTCAAGGCCAAGGCTGTGCGGTGTCGGGCTTCGTGGAGCGATCTTTGGGGGACTGGAGCCCTCTTAGACCGTCTTGGGGCCCTCCTCGAGCTCTCCTGGCCTGTTTCGTGGCCCTCTTGGCAACGAAAAAGGTTCGTGATAACACACGCCAGATCCCTGAAGCGCCCAGGAGGGTTTTGAGCGCATTCCGCTCATTGCCTGGCGTACTAGTCATGGGAGGGTGTAACATGTGTTGGGAAACCAGTTGTCCACTGACCAAGCATAATGTGCGATGGCATAGCTGGCGCATTGGGCGGAAGCCCGTAGTGCATGGGAGAAGGGAGGTTCAGTGGAAGTGATGTTGAAATCATACTTGCTACGCGAGCTTGCCAGCAGCCCTGTTCGCTGTTGCTCTTGAGGTGACCCCCCATTCCGCGTAATCGGAGGGAGAACTTGCCGTGGCTATCGCTTGTCTTGTACAGCCTTGGGAAGACTTGCGGATAACGAGGGATCTTGGCCTCGAGAGCGAATTTGCTCCCGCGGGGACAGCTGCAGCTGTGTTCGGGATGTGGCGCATGGCCAGCGGCAGAGAGTCGGCCATCGGGGGCAGATGCGAAGGGATAGAGGATCTACGTGGGGAGGTGGGCGAAGGAGACTTGGCATCGCTCGGACGTGTGCACTTTTCCTTCGGCGAGGGCCAACGAGGAGCATCCTTGCTCACTTGGCGAAAAAACCACGCACGAAACCGAAAACACACACACAGGGAATGGACGTCCGAGCGAAGGCGAGAGGTGGGCGAGGGGAAGGATGCAGCGGTTTCTGCAGCCACTATGGTTCAGGTCGTCCCTCCGCGCGCGCGCAGCCCTTTGCGCACCGCGGGCGCCTGATCCGAGCGGGAGCGGCGGCCCCCCTGGAGGGGCGCGCGGACGCGCGTGGGGGAGGGCCATGGCCGCCCAGCTGAAGGAGATCGTGGAGCGCCTCAATGCCGATCCCTTCGGGATGCAGCTGTCCCTGCTGGCTTTCGACGAGATGGAGCCCGTCGAGCTGTTGGATGTGCTGAAGAAGGTATGCGTCTACCTCGACAAGAAGCACGACTACGAGTGGCGCGACACGCTGGACCAGACGTACCAGAAGCTCGCCGAGTTTCTGCATACGTTGGGCTACCAGTGCCCTTTCGACACCGATTTTCAGTCGGGGCTCATGAGCGGCGAGAAGGGCACCGTGCACCCGATACTGTATTGGCTGCTCAGCAACCTCGAGGCCCTCAGGAAGCGGTCCTACCTCGCCCGCTTCTGTGTGAACCTGGAGGTCCCCGAGGAGTTCCTGCGCGAGGAGCAGGTCTTCGAGGTCTACCAGTCCTACAAGGAGCTGCAGTCGCAGTTCAAGGCCATGCACTCGCACGTGGAGCAGGAGCGCCAGGGCCGGCTGAACCCGCAGGACCTCCAGGCCGAGGTCCAGCAGCTCGACTCGGAGCGCGAGCAGCTGCAGCAGAAGATCCAGCTCCTGCGCCAGAAGACCGAGAGGGACGAGGGCTTCAAGCAGCTGCTGCAGGTGACGTCCATGCTGCGGAAGGAGCAGGAGGAGGAGGCCCGCCTGGCGGAGAAGCTGCAGGAGCAGCGCTTCGCTCTGGAGTCGACGGAGCAGATGTTCGTGGAGCGGTCGGCGCGGCTGCGCGAGATGCGCGAGGCGCAGCAGCAGGACGGCGAGGGCAATGCGGATGCGATGCTGAAGATGCTCCGGAGCGAGGTGAAGAAGGGCCGGGACCAGCTCGGCCGCGTGCGCAAGGAGATCGAGGAGAAACACGAGCAGCTCGGCAAGATCGACGCGGCCCTCAGCGAGCCGCCCGTGTCGAAGGCCGACATCGACGGGATGGAGCATGACATCCAGTCCATGCGAGACGACAAGGAGGCCCTGGAGCGCAAGATCGAGGAGCACAACCAGGACTCGCGACTTTCCGTGTACAAGCAGCAGGCGAATCTAGTCGCCAAGAAGAAGGAAGTCGTCATGAGGGACAAAAAGGCCTTGGAGGAGGATCGCGACGGCCTCAGCAAGGAATTGTCTGCGAAAGAGCGCGAGTACGAACAGATGAAAGGCCACAAGTTCATGAAGAAGGACGAGTTCAAGAACTACGCCACTTCTCTCCGGGACAAGTCGGCCAAGTTCAAGAAGTTGAAGACCGAGCTCAGCGAGTTGCGGCACGAGGTCGCGGTGCTCGTCCGCACGGAGCAGCTACTGCAGGCCCGGGACCCGACGCCCGCGGGCCAAAAAGATGCGGAGACAATGCTGGAGAAGGTCTCGGTAGTCAAGTCGGAGGTAGATAAAGCAAAAGGCAAGACTCTGGATCAGATCACCGAAATTGTACAGCAGATCAAAAGCAAGATCATGGAGAAGAAGAACAAGCTCGCTCCGCAGATTAAAGCGCTGCGGGCGGTGCGCCAGAACTTCCAGCAGGTCGAGGTGAAGTACCTCGAGAAGAAGGGGGCCTACGACCACGCGCACTCAAACGTGGAGGCAGAGCTTTCCAAGCTGGCGGGGGAGGTGAAGCAGCTCGAGGCGGAGGCCCAGGATGGCGAGCGCACGTACCACGAGCTGAACATGCAGATGGAAGTTGCCGAAATGAAGCTGCAGCGGGCAAAGCGCGAGGGGAAGTGCCAGCGGAAGGAGGGCGGCGCGAGATACTCGGATCAGTTTGCGACCCTGTCGGAGTGTTACCAGGCTGAGATCAGCACGCTCGACAAGCAGTGCAAGGAGTTGCGCAAGGAAAAGGACATGGTCATGGACAACTTCGATGAAAAGCTGAAGCAGAAGAAAGCTTTCGTACAGTTGGAGAGATTGTTGGCAGTGAAGCTCCAGGTGGCCAAGCAGGAGCTAGTCAACCAGCGCTACGGCATGCCTGGCACGGCCCTCGAGGAACGCAACAACGGCGTGGAGCGACTCGTCATCGACGGACCGTATTGAGTTTGGTGAAAGGCATTGCAGTTCGTATTTGCTTGTCCTGTCTTGCCTTCCCAACCCATGGAGCGGTTGAGCTGGCAAACGACAAGGTCCCGAAGTAGCGGTAATAATTGGTGTCATTGTGTTTGTGATTGTTCAGTTGCCCGTGTAGTATTTCCAGTTCTGGTATTGTGGCAAGGTATACTTGTAGAGTCTGTCGTGTGTGTGTGTGTGGGTGACTGTATTGCTTCATCCGTAGTTGGCATCAGTAGTAGTCGCGGTATTAGCAAGAGCAGTAGTATCTGCAGTAGTAAGTGGTCGTAGCCGGGGTAGTTCTAGTCGCTAGTGGGTTGAGGAGTCGCCGTTTCACCGGTGATTGTTCTGGAGTGTTTCGTTGCAGTTGGAGCTGGCGCATCCAGGTGCAGTCGCATCCTGATGTGAAGACGTAGCCATTGTTGTAGATGCACATGACATGTCAGCTGCAGTTGCATGCACGGGGTAGCGTTTATGATTGATGTAGCACTAGTTGGTTGCTGCATGAATGCATGGTGTCTGTGCATCTCTATCTCAAGCCTTGTATGCAGTTGTACTTGCAGCCTCAGTTTTAGATGCAGGTCCCATATCCCTTAGAAGGCGAGTCGCGTCACTGATTCTGACGTGTTAGCTAGTATAGGAGTGGGCATCGGACAACATCAGTTGTAATAGATGCAGCAGGATTGTGTATTCCGTCGGAGGCCCCTTTATAACGCAAGTCCGCATCATCTCTATCTAGATCTACAGACTATCGTATAAGCAGGGAAACCACATGCTTGCATGCTGGTGCATGCGCCAATGGAAACACGATGGGTACACCAGGGCGTCTTACTTGTCCTCTGAGTTCTTAGGCCTGGCTGCTGGGGCGCTGCCCGCTGGGCGCCTCGTGGGCGGCCCCCGTGCGTTGTGCTTCGATGGTGGTGGTCGCCCGGGAGGGGCGCCATGTGGCGCCTCGTGGGCGCCCCGGTTCGTGCTGGTGGTCGGTCTGCGTTTGGTGGGCGCCCGTGGGTGCCGCGCTGCTCCCCTCATGCCTTCCGCCACGCGCCTCTCACAGCACTGCGTTCACCACCGAGCGCACATCAACGCTCTTACGCCCTGAGGTTTGCACCGCGCAGCTTGCACCACACACGTTGCACCGCAGAGCTTCGGACCACGTGGCTTACGTCGCGTAGGTTGCACCATGTAACCTGCACCACGCAGGTTATTCAACGCAGCTGAAACCCTACAGTTTGCACCACATAGCCTACGCCGCATAGCGTTGACAATATAGCTGGTAGCATCACGCAGCTTACACCGCATAGTTCACACCACATAACTGGTTTCACAGATCCAACACTGCATAGCGTGCTTCACGCAGCATGCGACACGTAGCTTACACGACATAGCTTATACCATAGAGTTATAACCGCGTAGCTTCCACATCATAGCGTGGCATCGCATCGTCTACACCACTTAGCTGACAGCACATACCTCGCACCACATATCGGAAACATCCTGCACGCTAGAATTAGCTAGAACTCGCAGTATTTGTTTTTCTTGTGCAAGATCAGATGCACACGTGGCACACATTGTATACATCTTGCATGTCTAGAAGGTGGCATGCAAGCATGGTGTAGGTGGAATGTAGCAGCTTGGCTGTATTCTGGAGCATCTGTATGGTTGATTTTGTCATAACGCAGTCAACCTGCGTTCTGTACCAGATGTGATGCATCAGTCATTTTTAGTAGCTAGACCGTGGTAGGGAAGAGAGTCCTTCACCCAAGAGACAGCACGGAGTCGTCGTCGTAGCACGCGTCGTTTGTTAGTGGGGATTGTAACACGTAGTAGCACGCGTCGTTTGTTAGTCGGCCAGTAACTGATGATTGTGCACTCGATGTGGTAGGTCGGACGATGCTGGTCGCATGCGACGAGTGGATGTTATGGGCAAGTTATGGCAAACGCCAAATGCAATGTAGCAGGAGGTGTAGTGCCAGTGTCAGGTGGTAGTAGCAGTAGTGGTAGTCGTGTGATCAGCATTTGTAGACAGCAGCAGTGCGCATTAGCATGTGAGTGGCCGCATGGCAGTCGTAGCAGTCATAATAGACAGTGGTATTCGTAGGTGTGTACCGCTAGCCAGGAAGAAGTCCCAGCGGGCATCTTAACCAGACTAGCATTGAGCCCGATGTGGTATGGTCGGACACGGGAGCAGTAGACGCAGTAGTAGTAGTAGTAGTAGCAGCAGTAGTGGTAGTAGTGATAGCAGTAGTAGCAGTAGTTGTAGTAGGAGTAGTAGGAGTAGTAGGAGTAGTTGTAGTAGTAGTAGTAGTAGTAGTAGTAGAGTAGTAGTAGTAGTACTAGTAGTAGTAGTAGTAGGACTAGTAGTAGTAGTAGTAGTAGTAGTAGTAGTAGGAGTAGTAGTAGTAGTAGTAGGAGTAGTAGTGGTAGTAGTAGTAGTAGTAGTAGGTGTAGTAGGTGCAGTCGTAGAAGTAGTAGTAGTAGTCGTAGTAGAAGC